CTGCTGACGATAGCTCGGTTTGTCTACCTATGCTCACAGCAGGATATGCTTCCTAAGATTTGCAAGAAGAATCAAAGACTCGACATGAACACGTTTTACCCTGTCTTGAACTCCAATATTCCTTATAAGGATTCACAAGCCTTGTCAGTACTAGACCAGAGGTATCTGCCTGTCCTCTTTTCACTGCCAGGAGGGTACTACACATGAGGGAGAAGTAGTCACCTGAAAGCTGTCTGACAGTCAAGGACCTTGTAGCACAGTTACTCAAGGATTTGGTTGTAATTAAAAATGCAGTTCCAGTTTTCACCGAAGGGTTCCTGTTGTCTTACCAGGCATAATGGTCTTCTGGCAGTGGAAACACTTAGATGAATACTCATCAGAGTAGCATTCGGTACACAGCAAGAGCTCGTCCTTGGCAGCAAAGGGTTTCTCCACCAGCGAGCGGCTGCATTTGGCACACTTGAAGCATCCCTCATGCCAGTGGCGGCCTTTGTAGGCCAGATCCTTGGAGAAAGTAAGTCCATGTTAATGAAGACATTTCTTTAGAGCATTTTTATCCCTCAGCTCCTCCTAGAAATAGAGTGAAAAATGGAGAGCATTGCCATGGCAACTTGAAGAGATGACACATGCATCTGGCAGGAGGTGTGCTCAGAGGTGATACAGGTACTCAATGTCAGTTGGATATTTTGTAGATCTCTGGCAGAAGCCATTAGGAGCTGCTTTGGCACAGGCAAGAGCTCTATCTTATGTAACATCAGCAATATGTTTTTATTTGAAGAGCTGTTTTATATTTTACAGTTGGCCTTCAAGGGGAAACAAGTGATCAATGTTTTAATGTGCACAGGCCACCTGACAAGAAGTGCATTCTCTACAGGCTTTGAAATGAACTTAATGTATATTTTAACATTATTACTTTTTCTTCCAGCTGACACTACATAACACTAAAGAAAGATCCTATTATTGTGGAAAACAAGCAATTAAAATCTCATTGAGAACAAAATGATTCTGAGAAAGATTATTAAAAAATCATTGCTTTTGTTTACACCTAATATAACTCCTCCTAAAAACTTGGCAGAAAAATGTTTGTTTAAAGCTCAGCAGGCTTAGGGGATGAAAAAGCTAACAGTATATATATGAGACCTCCACCAAGAATTTAAAAAAAAAAAGAGCAAAGAGCAGATTTTATTCTCCCAACATTGAAAAAACATGGGAAAAATGCACCGCCAAACCCCCCTCACCTTAAAAAATAAACCAGACCCTTCTGGTTCTCCTTTATAAGTAAGAAGTACAAAAGGACAAAAATCCAATCTCATTTTTCTCCTTTGTCAGATGCCTGACCTTTAAAGTGCTAAAAATGTAATACATACCATGCTTCATTTCAGGAGGTGCTGAGCACTTACTGCTTTCATTTGCTTTAGTTAACACTTTCAGCCTTCTAGAAAATAGGCTATTGCCCCACAGCAGCCTGAGGCAAAGACTGGGTGAGATGGAGGGGAAAGGAGCCAAGCTCTAGCACTTTGGCAGAGGTAGGACAACCAGCTGTAGGTCTCTGTGGGCCACTTTTCTAGCTGACTCTGGCCTGTTGCACTATTTTCTTGTTACTGCTGTTTTTTTTCTCCCAATTTTTCCTTCCACTCAGTCCAAAGACATAATTTTTTGTTAATGATCTTTGTCCTTGATGGCCCTGCCACTTACTTACTATTAAATTTTAAAAGTGTAATTAGTGAGATTAGAGCACATGTTCTCCAGGTGACTCTGGAGCTACGTCTACAAATTCACTGTTGAAAAATGCTGATGAGAGCTTGAGAAGAGTCTTCATCCAAATCAGCATTTTTTTTGGATGATTCCTTTACAGTACTGAGCTGTACTCAACAATGTGCTTTGAACACCATGAAGTGCTTTCGCTGGGAAGGCCTCCGAGAGGCTTATTTTAATAACTTTCTGACCTTTTATTTCAAAAGAACATAGTCAAAGTGAGCATGGGGAGAAGGTGACCATTACATACTGAACTTGGCAAAACAAAGGCATTTTGACAAGTTTCATCTGAACTTAAAATTCAAAGTCAACTGCACAGGCTGTAAATTGAATTGTGGAGTACTGTAAACCCTGTCAAAGACCACAGAGGAACTCATCTTATTAGTTAATGTTCTAAAAGAGGAGAGAGCTGAAAGGAAACCCAAGCCCAGAAACACTGCCACTAACATGCCATCTGTGAGACAAGCAAGATAAGCATGGAATTAAGTTAACATTAAAATATACTTAATTTCCAAAACATAGGCAATAATACACAAATTATAAACATGGTTTCTTTCCAGCTTGACATTGGCATGTCAACACCTACAGTAAAAGTAATTATGCAACACTCAAAATATTATTTTCAATGGACATCCCTCAGAAATTCCAAAGTTTCATTCAACCTTATCCACTGAATTACACCAGCACCCTATTGTCCCTCAAGTACTGTGCAGTCTCTGCAGCCAATGAGCAGCTGGAGGTGAAGGATAGAGTCCAGTTGAGGTCCACACATACACCACAGCCTTGCCATATATTTGAGATGTATGTATATGCAGATTTCCTAATCCTTGGCCCTGGAGCTTTCCTATTCTGGGAAAATAGCACTGTTTCTCTCTGCTGTGCATGGATGTACAACGGTTATACTTAGGCCTCTTCACCAATACAGGGACACGCAGAGGGCTGGATATAGAATCTGCCATTAAAGAATCGAGATTTGTGTATAATTTAACAAAGAATCGAGATTTGTGTATAATTTAACAAAGAATCGAGATTTGTGTATAATTTAACAAAGAACAAGAAGCAAAAGCTAAATCTTTACCTTGGAATCGCACTCAATGGGTTGCTTGCACTCTTCACAGGGGTTGGCAAACAGGCTGTCATAACACGTAACACAATAAGCGTTTTCTTCTCTTAATGCATACTTCCTTCCACGAAGAGACTGCAGGCAGTAATGACAGTCTGCACGACTGCTGGTCATTCTGATGGGGTTCTCCGTGTGATCTGGGAAGATGGAAAAATCATGTAATTCAGCTGGCTGTTTGCTTGCCCAAATAATGAGTAGTGCTGCTTTACCTGTGAAAGTTAAGACAGGCGTTTCTCGGCCATTTGCAGTCCCCTCGATTTCTAATGCTGAGTTGTTCCATAACAACATGGTAGTCTTTAACAACATATACCGTGTCTTGTGTTACCTACATATCAGGCAGCAAGAAGGCTGCTTCAGCTTAACCTAATGGTATGTACACTGATAGGTCAGGTACCTGAAAATGAAGCTGTCTTCACATTCTCTACGTACTACAGCTACTGACATTATGAGCACTATGTACTGGATTGCGAGGCATGGTTTTTCCAGAAATCAGGGAATGGAGGTAGAAGCTATAGTTCAAAAATTAAACTAGCTGTGGATTTAAAGATCAAAGAGAAGTGGTAAGCACTTTGTAGTGTGTTCCTGGCTTTCTCTTGCCATTCCTGTCTTTCTGTTCATTCCTTCCTTTTCAAAATACCCTCACCTCTACGTGACTGAACAGAAGGAAGACGAGGGACTCCAAGCTATATGGCTGTTTTTTGCATAATCTCAGCTGTGCTGTTAACATTTGGTGGCAGTGTAAGGTGACACAAATACTCCTGGCTAGTAAAAGAGCAAAATATAAAGAGAAATAAAGTAAATAAAATCCAAACAAAATCATGACTCAAAGCAAGTTTCTTTTGTTGTTATTGGAAAAGATCGTATTTTCTTACATATTTCTGTACTGCCAGGTTTCATGTTGGCAGTGCCAAAATACTGTGAGATAAATTATATTTCTCTGCCAGAGAAGTGCAGGAAATACCACAAATCTATTGAGAGCCAATTGTACGAGTTTCCCATCCTTCAATTTTCCAGGCTAAAGAGATTTGGATAAGCATCCAAACCTCAGCTTCTTATAGATATCTGCAACGCTGAATGTTTTAAGGATTGTGGAGATGAAGACTTATTTCAGTTTTCTTGTTGCTGGTTGGATTATCAGCACTTGGCTAAAATTGGGTCTTAATCCTGGGAATGAAGGAAGAAAAATCCAAAGTCCCCAGTGAAGCAAACTCAGAAACATCTGCTGGACTCATTGGATTGCACTCTTCATTAAACTCCTTCAGTGTTGCTGCAGTCAGTGCCAGCAATCATGAATTTTAGAGAATTTGAGAACAATCAGGGAGGGCCTTCTAAAATACTTACACATCAGTGACTTTTGGCAGCTGAAATCTTTGCACTTTGAGCAACAGTGAAAATTAGTTTATCTTAACCAGCTGCAAAGCCAGTGAGGAAGAGAAGCATATGAACAAGATTCAAGGGACGACTTGCCGTCACAGAGTTTACATCTAGTCCTTTGGAATCACTCCCTCATACTTAATTTTATACACTCACTGCCTGTCTTATACCCATAGTTTGGTTTTAAAAAGGCATTTCATCTTTTTCTGGGATTCTGCTTTGTGAGGTGCCATCCAAAATGATTGTCTGAACTATGAGAAAGAACAATTACTGCAGGTCTCCACTGGCGCCAATGCATAAGGTCAGGCATTTATTAATCTATTCCCAGATGGATAGTAGTAAGACAGTGAAAAGGGTGCAGGGAAAGCGGCTATAATGCTTATCTCAGACCAAAAGAAATGATTTGTTCGTTTGGCACAAGTTATGGGAAACTTGCTGTTGCTGTAAATCAAAAATCTTTTAAGTTGAATTGATTTACTGTATTTCTGACTGCCCTAAATCTTTGTGATAGTCAAGAGAGTAAAGAAATCAAATAATCTGTAAGTCAGATCAGTGGGAAACATGCTTGCTTAAAAATATTACAGATTTGGTTTATGTGATATCTTTGGAATAATAGTATAACAGGGCTTGAACGCAGACTTCCATTTCCTTAAGATCAAAAGGAGACTTGAATGTGAAACGAACGAACCCCTGTATATGAGAAAATGACATCCATCAGCTCTTACATCTACACAACACAACACAACATATAAAACCCAGACACAGTGCAGTAATTCAGTGCACAATCAGTCATCGCCAAATTCAAGTTTAAGTGTTGTTCATTTTCTGTATGGGAGAAGCAATATAAATTGGTGGCTGGGGAGACAACCAGTGGGAAGTTTATGGTTAATTGGGCTCCATATTCAAAGTCATAAGACAGACTCGAAACTGGGTTTCAGAGGAACTTTCATTCCTTTCGTTTGTGGGAGTTAGAGTTATGAACTGCCTCTGAGGATAACCCTGAGTAGACTACCTTTCTGTTGTCCTCCCTGCTGAATCAGTACCCCACCTTCCTAACACATTGTAGTCTCAGCCTAAAAGAGGTGACAGGAAAATCTTAACAGGGAATGCATGAAGAGCTTTTCTGTTACTTACAGTGCTTTTTGTTATACAAAGCTTACCAGCAAATAGCTTCAGATATCTGCAGATACACCTCTGGTTTTTTCATTCTAATGAATGGCGATAGGTTTTCAAGTTACTGAAAACTCTGCATACCCAACAATTTTCTTCAAAAAGTGATTTTCTTTATTTTTTTTTTTTTTCCCCAGGAATCCAATCTGTTCCAGGAAGCCTGGGTTACATACACATACATGACCTGCTACTGTAATACTCCAGAACTTCCGAATTTGTAATGTAGTTATCCTTCTAAAAAACTATACAGATACGGGAACAAAGCGTCATTACTCTTGTATTACAGATGACAGAGGTTTCTTGAGAACATTAAAAGAGTACACCCAAGACCAAAGTCAAAGCCTGGAGGTCGTCTTGAGCTGCTCCTCTAGTAAAGCGCTTAAGTCACACAAGGCTTTGTTTCAGAAAAACTCTTCAGGGTTTGACCATGATGATACAAAACCGTATTTGGGAATGAAGCAACGATGGTATGAAAAAGAATGATGACTTTTGCAAATCTCTTGGCAAAGGTCTGGGTAACCTTTGTGAACTACTTTTACCATTAGTGCAACAAAAAGAAGTGAATCTCATCTCCCCCAGCACCACTTACCCTTGCTCCAATAAATAAGTAATGGTACGAGCACTACCCAGTTAAGTAGAATGTTTTTCTTGTGCTTTGATCCTAATCTCTAGAGAAATATGTTTACTTTAAGTTTGCTGGAAGCTAGACTTTGTGCTTTGAAGGTCAGTTAAGAAATCTCTGGAAGTCTGATGCTATTCACTCTCATGGAATGAAATGCTGACTCCAGCATTCCAGCTGCTAACTTTTTGGAAAGACTGATGTCTTCATTCCTTGGGAAAAGAGGATTTTGTTATCTAAATTGGAATAAAGCTAAATACTATTGATTTTTATGTAGGCATGGATACATGATATCATATCTAGTGTTATAATATTCCAAGGGGGAGCACAGAGATGTTGACAAAGATGCGAGGATGTTGCAACTGGAGTCCCTGGGGTCAGATTTGAGAATGCAGCAGTCTCATGGTATGAAATATAAAGCAGATGAAAATAAAAAAATAGAGTTGGCTAGCCTGTCTGCTGTTCCAGCAGATTAAGATAGAATTAACTACAACAAATTAGAAGAGGGACTTTCTGTAGACTTAAATGGTTTCCTATAAGACGCAGAGCACTAGAAGACTTTCGGTGAAGAAATCCATAAGAAAATGCTTGTGAAGTTGTGAAACCTGATAAACGTAATGTAGAACCATCAGGAAAAGAATGCTTGTTTTCTCACTGGAGCTAAAAAGCACACCCACAATGTTGATATGTGTCACGTTTTGTGTGACAATATGTCTCTTAATAATTTATCTTGGTATTTTCTACAAACGTATGCTATTTATATAACTATAAAAAGCCCAGAAACATTAATCCTACTTAGATGGGAATGAATATACAGAGGCACGTATGTATATACATGTGTAAAAATATTGTACCTTTTGCTTTAAGGCAATTCTAATGGACTGTTTTCCGACCTAAATAACCCTGCCATTGAACTGCATCATGTTTTCCTTAAGCATATATAATGAATGGAACAAGGCTTTCTATTAGGGAGGCATAAAGAGAGAAAAATGATGGCAAAATAAATCATTGCAACGCTGCTGAAAGATAAGAAAAACAAATTGATCTATTATGAGGGGACATCCCTGCAAGCCATCCCAGACACCTGTGTATTTTCAGTTGAGTACTTTTCTAATCTTGGAATACGGTTTTGCATGAATTTTCTGATTTCGTTTTCTCTATTTTGTTTGTTCTTTTGGTGAGAGCTGCTGAACAATCACTCACATACATTCGCAAAATACATTAGTGACTCAAAGTTACAAATGCATTGTAAAGTTAACAATATCATTATAAGGAAAAATTTCTAACAATATCATTATTTTATAAATAAAAGTTTCTAACAAAGTTCTACAAGGAAATATTTCCTCATTTCAGGGATCATAGTTTCTTGGTTTCTCTGGATGCCTGTTATTTTGTTACTATGACTAGACCTAATAAAAGCCTTGACCCCTTGAGAAAAATGAACTCACAAGACAGTTAAATGTATGCTGTATTTTCAGAACAGTGGCAATACTCTTACTTTGTCTTTTTCCTCCCTTAAAGTAACTGCAGTTTTCCCAGCGATACCTTGAAGTTATACTCGAGTGTTTAAAGACACTAGAATTTTTGCTCTTCTAAAAATAGCTGGAGAAGCGGAAGGAACCAAGGGCATACATTACAGATCAAGTCAAAACAAGTACGTACAGGAAAGCAGAGACACAGATGTTAACTTTGAACAAGCTGCTTTATCTCTGTGGCACAGCACAGTAACATGAAGTCAGGTCCTGGGAGCATCTGAGTAGGTGCAGTGCTCTTGCTGATGAAGTTCTTTGAGCAGCCAGGACGGATGCCAACCAGGACTGTGCTGTAACAATATGACCATACAGCTTCAAGGTCCACAAGTGATACTGTTTTGGTGGACCATCGAGGCAAGACAGCTCATTTAGAGGCTGATCTGGTACCTCCACCACACTGCATTGTACCATGTTTACACATCCCATGATCA